AAAAAAAAAAAAAAAAAAGGTAATATAAACTGTCACAACAAATCCACCTCCTATTTATCAGGGAGGACAAGTAAGATATTCTTTGTAACAGAGAAATCACTAAACCATGAGGAAAGGCATCAGTTTATGGATCAAATAAGATATTATGACATTCTACATTTGGCACAGCATTCCTGTCCATTATGTAAATGCAGTATTCCAGTTGAACACAAGTGTATATCTATTTATAAATACAAGCTTGAGGTTTACAAACACAGTGTTTATCAGGGACATGACCTACTTTATAAGCAAGGAGACCCTACCATATTGAAATTTTGCCAAATGCAGCAGGTAATTTACTCTGATTGAAGAAATAATTTTGATTGAAGAGAAGAATTACCACTCTCCCCCATTTTACCATCAAACTTTCAATGTGGTAATTTTTTTTCAATTGGGAAATTGCCTAATATCTGGGGATGACTTGAGCATTAAATTAATCACTGCTTAATGTTACAATGTAAGTACTCTTTTGGTAAAAGATACAATGAGCACAGCAAATTATAATTAACTTTTCAAATTCTGTACCTACTACCATAGCAATTAAACATGGATTATAAAGATTCAATTCAAAATTCTGAATCCACTATATCTCACTCAATGCAATGATGCAACTTTACTAATTCATTACAGACTTCAAATAATCCTGGTTCAAATCACATTGTCTAAACAAAGCTTACGAAGCAGGTGTTCTTGTCTTATAAGATTACATCATCAGCCTTCCTGCCAGGTGTAAGATATTATCATGTTATTGTTAGTGAAGTGAGAGGGTATTCAAAGCCCAGTACTAGTAAACATCCCTGTGGTATTAACATGGGATAAAATAAGTATGAGGAGATCAAGTTTAATAGAAGATTTCAGCAGATCAGAAAGATAAGGTCAGGTTCACTGCAAGACTAACTTAAACCAGTCAAAGTAAAGACCAGTAGAGTAGTGACACATATGACATCACCCAACACCTTGATTGTTCAAGCACAAATTTCAAGTCAAAGACAGGATGGAGGGTCCCTAAAGTTTGTGGTTCTGTGCAAAATATGAAGACCACTATCACATGTCACATCTTTGTGTATGTGGTATATATGGATACAAAGGAGTTCTTCCTCTACAATCTTATCATAAGGTGATGGCATTTAAGCTATTTCAGAGTGAATATACTCACCTTGGAAAGTTAAAAATACCAGCATGTGGCAAACACCTCATCATAGCTCCATCACCATGCATACTTAAGAAGGTGAAATCCTACTATCAATATTCCTTTGTCTGGAACATCTGCTTATCCTTTAAAAATTTTACTAGCATGCTTGTAATTATAAGATACCTGTAATGTAGTCCTACTGTTCCTATATTTAGTCATTTCTCACTAAATAATTACCATCTTTTTCAAATTTATTTTTCTGGAAAATTTTTTGCAATTTTAAAGAATACAAAAGATAAGAATGCAAATTCTATCACATAAATTATTTGTTACGGTTTCAAATAACTTTTCTCACCTGAATAATTCACATCATGCTGGCTCATACATAGAAATGATATAATACTCATACTTATTACAGAAGTATATACGAGTTATGCAAGAAGTACTAGTAGTGACAGTCAAATTATGCCAATTCTGCTGGATGTGGTGTGATAGACCGTTGCAGGTAATAATCAATGCTACTTGTTAACTTGGTACTGGATTGAGATATTTCACTAACTTTTCAAATTTACACAAAGGCTCAAAATAACTCACTTATTAACTACTTAGGAGCCTTAATCTTGATCACGTTTTCTTGAAAACAAACAGAAATAGAAAGATTAACACACAAACTAAAGCAAAGCTCTAATTAGTTGCAGTCTGTGCCAAAACCTTTCTAAGATTACAAACCCTAAGGGAATCAAAGTCGAATACATAATCAACTTCCTGCGCAGTGTAACTGAACACATTTACAAAATTTTTCTGGTTCAATTTAAATTTTACTGACGTATGGTGTGGGGCAAATGTTAATGCTGTTACTGTAAATGTTTTTGTACCTGACAAAATTGACACAATCTTCATGTGCATTATCCTTGTAACTTATCAGCTGTTGATTCAGTGGATCAAACATCAACAGACTCTTCCTTTCACAAGCTGCCACCAGTATAGATCTAGATAAAGGGGTGAAATAGTACATCAGTTAAAAACTTGAAATACTTGTATTCTAATAAAGCACAGAATCATGTTATTGGAGTAAAAAAAATATAATAATAAATAAATAAATAAATAAATAAATAAATAAATAAATAACATACATATGTATATGTACTTGGAAGATATACTTAAAGAAATATTACCCTTTTGACTTTAATATATCTACTTTCATACTTAAAACATATAAGATTTTAAAAATAACTCAGTTAAAAAAAAAAGAATGTAACTTTACAAAGAAAATCACATTTAATGGACTCAAGTGCATGTTTCAAGATCCTGGTCATAATGTGCAATCTATATTGAATTATCAATAGAATGTGCAAAGAATGATCTCTAGAAATCCCAAAAATATTAAACTGAGGATGCACAGTTATGTAAGTGTCAGTCCACAGCGTGCAACACGCTGTTGTTCAATGTTTACACGACTGAAAAACTTTTAACCCTGAACAGGTTTAACTCATAGATCTACTTGGAGCTTCAGAACATGGGAAAAATTTTAACTGCTACATAACTGTTGATAATTTATGGATCTTAAACCAAGGGAATAATACTTTTTCGAAGACTAAGTTGAAGTTAAAATGCCTCATACAAACGTTCGAACACAATTCTAAACAGTTGACAAAGTACTCACCCATCTTTAGAAAAATCGAAGTTAAATACACCACCGTGACGGGTGTGATCTTTCGTTTTTGTTGGGTCCCAACAATTCGCAGATTGGTAGCTAGAGTAAATGTCAGTGTTAAGTCGATCTCTTGGTCGAATTTGATCTCTGCGAAAATCCTTTGACCGTCCTGTCTCTCGCCTAAAAACGAAGTTCCATGGCATAAAGATATCTCCTGCAGTGCTTCCCATAATGACAGGGGAGGCTAGCCACTAGATACTTTGCTCATTGAAATATTTTCCTCAACGAAGAGAAAAATAAAATTCTTCAGCTTAGCTACAGAGTCATGTTGTTTAGTGGTTTCCGTCACAGAAGAGCTCTCTTCTATAACCAAGACAAGCCAGCTCAGGCGTGTAGTGGAACCTCGTCCCTTTTATCTCACCCCAGATAGGGTCATGAACAAAATTACGAATTTTCGATATTAGGAAGGTATCTGTGGTATCGCACCTACAACTGAGGCCACTTAAATCCTGCAGTTACATTTTGAAAAAACTTTCTTCACACGAAAAGCCATATAGTAAATAACTTGAACTTACTTAGGCCTATATTCTTTGGCGTTATCAGTCATTACCAGTCATGAACTGAGACTACATGTACTGTCTGATTTTGGTGATATTTTCAGAAAATGTTTCATTAATTGACAATGTGAACCTCGCCTCTTTTATTCATTGAATAAACTATATCTAAATATATTTTCCTTATCAATTTTTTTGATTGCGTTAATCACTGTGGGCTTATTCTATCGGTCTACGCAGATCGATCCAAGTCTGTGGGGACTCTTGCTGAATACAATCAGCATAACAGGTTAACACTCCTCCTCTTGTTTTCAAGCTACTAGTGCTCGTATAACTACAAGCTTTTCTGTATTTTACTCAACGCCAGGAAAAGGCATACTGTATATAACTTTTTTCCCCGTGGAATGGCCCAACTAGACTTTGATAGGTTTGGAAGTTGGGGTTGAGAGCAGGCAGAGAAGTAGGACAGAGGTGCATGTAGGGCAGAGCAGAGAGGGGTAGAGGAATGGGAATTAAAAAAAATGAATCATCAAAAATTAGAAACTAACTGGGGTGAGATAAAAAGGAGAACGATAATGAGGCAAAAAAAAAAAAAAAAATGAAAAAAATAAATATACAGAGGCTTTGGACCAATGTTGCACTTCCGAAAATTTTGTTGGCANAAAAAAAAAAAAAGAATGAAAAAAATAAATATAGGCCTACAGAGGCTTTGGACCAATGTTGCACTTCCGAAAATTTTGTTGGCATGATTTCAAGGATCTTTGGACCAATGAACGTCGTGAATAAATATGCTTCGGAATGCCACCACCCACCTGTTCATACTAAGTAATTCGTCAAATTTATAATTAAGCCTATCTGGGGTGCTTTTTAAATGTAGCCTTCATTGCGTATAAATCTTAACCAGAAAACATTACATTTTTATATTTGTAAAGGTTACTGATTCAGTCTTTTCCCAATAAATGGGGGTATACGTTCTTTAAGAATGCACTGCATATAATTGTTGGTAGGCTTTTAGCATTTTTCCTTTTGGGGATACGTCAGATTTAAATCATGTACTACGCCCACGCTTAAAATCAATGATGATAAAATTGGTTTTTCAAAACTCAACAAGTGTCTTATCATAGGGAAAGAACGGAAAAGTGAAAGAAAAGAGATTTAATCCGGTTGTCGTGCCGTTAAGTGAAGTATTCGGCAAAAAGATAAGACATAAAATAAACCTACATGTATATAATGACTTATTCGATCAAAGGGTTGTAAATCAACACCTTAACCCTTAAAATTATCGTTCTTTTGTCCAAACAAATGTCCTAGATGCACTGGTAGAGTTCCCATGTCTACTAGCATACCAAAACAATACTTACTTCATGTGACGTAAATATTCAATAATTCATCACATCTGCAGCCAGTATTTGCTCAATAATTTCACATCATAAAGTGCAAGTAGCATTGTGTTTTTTATCGGTCCAATGGCTCATTGACACCAGTAATCTGACGGAGCTCAGACATCGATGACTCATGTGACCCGTAATGTTGTCTGTAAAATGCTCTTTTAAAAAATGTGACTAAGGTCAGGCCCATGCCAGTCGTGTTGTTTGATCAGTTTTACTACTTCAGTGGCAAATTAACTAGTGATTACCGTACCTATAATAGACACCGGTTACAGGAGGCAACACACATACCGGTACTAGTAGCTAGCTGCACGTCGTTTTGACAGGAAGGACGGATCAGTTGATTACATTTTTATCTCATGGTTAAACAAGAAAAGAGTCTTCACTAACTGTATGAGTAGGGAACGAAGTATCAAAATGACATTCGAGATCATCTACGGACGCAATTAGCTACTCGTGTAAGGTGATTATTTTTTATTAATTTTTCAATATCGTACAGAAAGAATTCAAATTTTTAATTATCAGCTTTTGCTGTTTCTCAGTTAAATTTACAACATTTAAATGTGAAACCATTCTTTCAGAGTGGAAATCAACTTCTCGCAGGTGAATTAGGTACATCTCAGGGCTAGTCACGCTTATGGCAAATCAATGCATATCAATTATCTGGGTGGGCACATCCCAAAAATATAGAATAATCAAAAATTAAAAAAATTGCTGCTTACATTTATTGATATAGATGACTAAAGAAAATTGATTTACTCATAATCAGATGACATGCAACAGTTCACATTAGGTTTACAAGAGTGCGGTTGAATACTGTAAATTGCGCAAAGCAATTTCAATGATTATTTGAAAAGAATTAAATTTAAAGTTAACCTGTTGTTTTTATGCTTCACTGCTGAAGTTCTTGGTATGGGGTAGTTTATGGGGGATTTATTTGATTTGTAAAAAAAAAAAAAAAAAAAAAAAAAAAAAAAAAAAAAAAAAAAAAAAAAAAAAAAAAAAAAAAAAAAAAAAAAAAAAAAAAAAAAAAAAAAAAAAAAAAAAAAAAAAAAAAAAAAAAAAAAAAAAAAAAAAAAAAAAAAAAAAAAAAAAAAAAAAAAAAAAAAAAAAAAAAAAAAAAAAAAAAAAAAAAAAAAAAAAAAAAAAAAAAAAAAAAAAAAAAAAAAAAAAAAAAAAAAAAAAAAAAAAAAAAAAAAAAAAAAAAAAAAAAAAAAAAAAAAAAAAAAAAAAAAAAAAAAAAAAAAAAAAAAAAAAAAAAAAAAAAAAAAAAAAAAAAAAAAAAAAAAAAAAAAAAAAAAAAAAAAAAAAAAAAAAAAAAAAAAAAAAAAAAAAAAAAAAAAAAAAAAAAAAAAAAAAAAAAAAAAAAAAAAAAAAAAAAAAAAAAAAAAAAAAAAAAAAAAAAAAAAAAAAAAAAAAAAAAAAAAAAAAAAAAAAAAAAAAAAAAAAAAAAAAAAAAAAAAAAAAAAAAAAAAAAAAAAAAAAAAAAAAAAAAAAAAAAAAAAAAAAAAAAAAAAAAAAAAAAAAAAAAAAAAAAAAAAAAAAAAAAAAAAAAAAAAAAAAAAAAAAAAAAAAAAAAAAAAAAAAAAAAAAAAAAAAAAAAAAAAAAAAAAAAAAAAAAAAAAAAAAAAAAAAAAAAAAAAAAAAAAAAAAAAAAAAAAAAAAAAAAAAAAAAAAAAAAAAAAAAAAAAAAAAAAAAAAAAAAAAAAAAAAAAAAAAAAAAAAAAAAAAAAAAAAAAAAAAAAAAAAAAAAAAAAAAAAAAAAAAAAAAAAAAAAAAAAAAAAAAAAAAAAAAAAAAAAAAAAAAAAAAAGACAGCGTCATTGTTCTCTGTCGTTTTCTCATAGGGAATACAAAAGAAATGTACTTTGCGGTGTGCAATTTACGAAGCACAGCTACTGCATTCCAGTTCGCTTGTAGTTATCTCATTTCCTATATATACATTTACTCCGGGCTGTATGACATTGACGGGTGCATTTATCATGTCCATTAATATAAACAGTAATGCACAACTGATTTATGCTCTGTGGCAATGTCCAGCCTTAGTCACTCCCTATGTAGAAGGTCCTACATAAGATATTCCCAATCATATCTAATTTGGTATGTGTCAGCAAGGATTCGATAATGGTTTCACAGAAAAGAAAAGACGAAAGGGTAATTATTTTCCTAGTATAAAATTGTCAGTTGCAGTTACCTCATAGTTGTGGGAAATCTTTTTTTCGCTCAATGTCTTTCAGTTTGATTTTTTTTTTCATAATCCAATAATGTACCGTTTTATCCTTTCCATTTACTCTAAATGTATAAATAGCATCAAACCACCCACGTCCACCTACGTTACATGAATTTTTGAAGAGTCGTTCCACACGTAGTGCATTTAGCTGAAACACGAGCATTCTTGAGTTTCCAATAATGAATGTAAAACTAACATGTTGAGATCGATTATCATTAAGGTAGTGGTTTTGTTCAAGTTAAGGGATGGGTGGCGACAAGACGGCACAGATGACATGGAGAAGGGTTCAAGTTTTTTGGTACTTTAAAACGCGCGATAAACAATGTAGATCATGTAACATCACGTATATACAGTATTACAAAAGCTTAAGCGTTGGATAATAGAAGTCTTGTTTTAAAAATACCAGCTATCAAATAGTACCTCACAATAAAGGCAATATAACCTTGAAAGTAAATCTATCTATATCTGCTTTGTTGAGTTGATTGACTTAATGGTTTGATAGTAATGCGGTAATGGCTTAATAGATAATTTCTTTATCATAACATGGCACTGGGCCATTTGCACCCTTTCAAGCACTTGCTAGCCGCGTTTAGAGCGAGGCCTGTTTTCTACAGGTCATCCAATTAGTGGGCTTACTATCACAATCTCCCCCGACACCGAAAAAGATGACAAGAAAGAAAATCAAATAATGTCGACAATTAATCAATAGAAAGACGAGAAGTGAACAAGTCGGGCTGAATAGAAGTTTAACATATGCGTATGGTAAAGTCAAACACGTGCTCTGTAAGATGGTATGTATTTGGACAAATGGTACTTATAAAAGCTAACCAGAAGGTATTGGGGATCACAGTAATTTAAAAGATGTAAGCAATTAGATAATGTTATTGAAAAGTGTACGTATGCCATTCCCATGTCATTTTTAAATACATAACGTCCTTAAACAAAAAGGAGATGTGTCTTAAAAGCGGTAACCAAGAAATATTGAGAGGCAAATTAGGCATTTTTCCTATAAAAATATTTGTGAGCTCTCTATGATTAATTATCATCATATGTCTTAAACATAACATTTTAAGGCAAAAAGTTGAAAGAAGAAGTATCACAAATCCAGATCAGGCGAAGCGGTCAAATCCTACAACCCATAAAATGTTTTGGTATAGTTTTCGAATGAATGAAATAGGCGAAATTTCCTTTGAAAATGGAGTATTTTGAGTCTATTAATCGACGCCATTACCTCAAAAGCCTTCATTGTAGGCTTCAACTCGAGGCTACCGTAGCAGCTCCCTTGATTTCAATAAAGAACATACAGCATTATATAATTTGCTTCGATTTTCCCCGCAAAACATTCGATAAGAAGACCCAAGTCGTACGTACCGGTCGTAAAAATTAAAATTATAGTTGTTATCCTTCACGAACAGATCACTCACGTGGTGCGGGATGGAGTTATTTATTTATTATTATTATTATTATTTTTGAATGAAAGTAGGGTCGTGATTGGAACCAAGGAATTCTAAATATCCTCGATGCAACGAAGAGCAGTGAAATCAGTTTTGTTCAAATCCATGCGCCAATCAGTTTCCTATACACAGTCAGATCAATCCTTAACAAGCTCCAAGAGTAGCGGATTGTCATTACATTTTTTTCAAAGAATTTGAAGATAGGGCATAGCAATCGACTTTTGTTCTATAGTTTCCCAGTTAAACGTTTCTCGGTACACAACAAACAACTAATGAAGTAAATCTAATATTCTCAAAATGGTAATTTGGGGGATAGTTAGAATCCCAAATCATAGTGTGCCAAGTGTCCATGTTGACGTCCTATAGAATCTGTCACGGGGCGTACTGGTTCTCTATAGATCAGACAAAGCCCGGAGCCCGGTAAAAACTGACTTTTTAAAAGCTATTCACAGCAACAGTTTAGTTTTGAAATAGATTTGGTAGTCCCTGTTTGAAAAAAGTATAGGACCTTCTATTCTAGTCAGAAACACGTGAAAAGAATCTTTGGCAATTTTTAACCGTCTCGTGCATAAGGCAGCAAAAGATGTGCTTACTTTTACTTGAATACAGTATGTACATCATCTGCACCCGCCCCGAAATGCGATACACCAGCAATAATATGAATGTCATTTAAAGGATTGGCGCATCAATAGTAACTGCAATTGCTGGAAACACCACATGGATTATCGAACAAAATGTTTGACAAATTTTGCCCAAAAGCAATTTAAGTAAGTGCAGGCTAAATCACAGAGAAGGCGTGATATATAATTAGATTAAAAATATATTATATAAACTGACTCACAATGAGCACTTAAACCATGTAATTGAGCTGACATTTACTGTATTCTTCTAGTCACAAGAATATCTGAATATGACAGCAGCAACTGACAACGATCACGTCGCAGAAAACTAGTATACATCGCATAAAGCGGATAGTATACTGAAAAAAAGGCACCCGGTAAGGATACGTCCTCTTTGGGGTACACAGAGTGCTCTCTCTTGGTGTATCGGCTATAAGGTTTTATGTTTTGGTAGTTGCTTTCAGATACTTCACAGATAAATAGGGACCTCACAGGGAGTCAGTTTTGTGTGTATCAATCACATGTATTCCTCACTGAGCATACTTTCGGGGTAGACCTAAGTGGAAGGTGTGGAAAAATAACTCTAAATTTTTTCAAAGTTTTTCCAGATTTTTATATGACTTTAGCTTTGTACGTTCAAATGTTTTAAAACTTAATGCGTTTAAAAGAAGAAGAAAAAGGGACTGAGTCAGCACTTTTTTATGAAACATAGGTTATGATGTATGGGTAAACAGATTGTTGAGATGAAAAGGGATAAACTATGGTTACAAACCCACTATGATGTGCGTGTCCAAAAACAAGATAAAATCACAAACAACCGAACAAACCTGCCTGATATTAACGCCTTTATTCGAGATTTTCATATCATAGCAACCCTTAATAACATTTCTTTGAGAACAGGGTGGGCAGTTGCAGGGCGTTTTGCACGACATTAACAAGCACATTCCTGTGACTTGCGAATTCCCCGCGCTTTATTTATAGTTGGCACGATGATTTATTTAACTGCGTAACGGTTCAAACACCCTTGGTAGGTAGAATTACATTGATTAACAGCACTTAACCCCGTTGATTCCATAATCACAGCGTGTTATATTCGTTAACACGGTTTTTATCGTTATTATCAATGTTGAATATTCTTTAAATTGTGTAAACAATAAACCTATAAAATAGCCTAAATTGAATAAATATCCCGCCTTTAAAATTAAACATAGCAACTGTGTACTGTCTGTTCGTTTTGGCAACAAAACGATATATGAAACGAACGCTTTTTATTTCAACGCACATTCTATCATATGAAATTCCATTAAACACTCGAATAAACAAGGAAGTATACGTCAATAAAGTGTTACTATCTTTATGTCGAAAAAAGTTTCATCTGTATATTGATGAGACTACGGTCCTCGGAAATTGCGCTCGCCCAGAAAGAAATGAACCTTCCGTGGCTGCAATAATGCAGAGAAAGAAAATTGCGAGGCAATCTACATGCTTTTAGGGAATGGTTCCGAGAAAATTGCAGGGTCGTCGATAGATAAGAAAAAAGTGTCTGTAATTAAGTCCTGCTAATGTCTACAGTTCCGTCGTTGTAATCACAAGAGAGAAACCAGTCCGATCTTCTTTTTTTGTCGTCAATTTCTACCGAAAAAAATCATCCAACGCATACATCTGAATGAGTTTCCTGGAAAAATGTTAAGCCAGGTTTGTTGATTTGGGTGTAAGGGTCAGAGTCGTAATCCCTCGTCAACTGGGCGTGCATTTATGGGTATAAGCTTAATTCCATTCTATCAATATTGCCCCGGCCTGGGACAGTGTGATAGCATGAAGTAATTTAGCAGACATTTCCTGCCTTTGCTTATTTGCAGATCACCCCTGACTGCTTCGACTGAATGTGGACCATTAGATACAACACCGAGCGGTCGTGAAATTGTTCAGCCGAGCGCGCTTTACTGCGAAAACACCCAAGAATCGGCTAATGGCAAACCACGAGAAAAGTTAATAATATTTTCACTAGTAGTGACGTTCGATACACTGCTTTCGTGTCTTCGTTTCTTCAATGCCAGCACGACGTCAATCATATCAAAGTAAGAGTGTATCAAGGTGGAAATGTAATCACTATTTTTATCACCGCTAACAGCTTTGAAAACGACCTCGCAATCATCTGTGGATTAGCAGCGCTTGTGAAGTTGGGTCATATTAAACCGAGAGGGATCGCTGTTGTGACGTTTCAGTTTCTCAACAAATGCAACAGTAGAGTGTGCGTATAAGCGATGTCCAGTTTAAGTATGGCTTTACACCGGAATACGTGCAGCCCAAGTGGACTTCTCCGTTGATGGACTAATCGCAGTATTTGATATTGTTATTTATGAGGATATTAACGGACAAGATGGATCGTAGGTAAATAGATAAACATTTCGACTGAAAACAGCGGTGGTGCACCTGTGAACCGTTATAATACGATACCACGCTACTTTCTCCCGCTATTTGGAAATAACGACGAGAGAAGCTTTGGACAGGACTTCTGAGGACATCTTCTTAGAAATAAACAATCAATCACAGCGGACACAAGAAATTATAAGGTAGGGGATATTGTCACGTTCTACACGAAGTAAGCCGACGCTGGCAACCAAGAAATGATGAAGCGAATTAATCGTTTTCGGATTTCCCTTTGATTATCGGAAGCAGGGGAGAATTGTTTCACGTATTACCCGAGAGATTAAGATTTATTTTATAGACTACCCATTAGGATAACATCGGATGACAGAGCCTAGAGATGACTAGAGGAATATAACATCAATCATCGTCAAAAGGGAAGTAACGCGGTGTCCCGCAGGTAAAGCAACCTTAGTTATGCATGCCAATGCTAAAATGGCTGGACCTAACTCGCGGTTCAACCACACCCTTTCCTACTCCTCCAACGTCGAGGCAATTCATCCGTCCAATTTGATCCGCAACTTTACCGATTCTATCATAAGTAGAAACAACGGAGGTGCTGCTGCCGACAGGTCGACCGGACTGGATCTTAACGGGAGTTTATGGCCGGTGATGAATTCCAGTCCGAGTCCCAATGTCACATCAGACGACTATGAATCCCAGGAGATTTTCATATCAATCGGATTGGCCATTGCTACCCTGGGATTGATAGGGAACATAGTCTCCTTAATGGCGTTGTCGAAAATGAGGAGACCCCTAGAGCCTTTACACTTACATCTCATCAACCTGGCAGTATCGGATTTGGTTGTGGTGGCTCTGACACTGGTATCCAGTGCAATTTATCTAATGAATCTAAAAGAAGTGTTTCCCAAATTTTCAGAAGCAATGTGTATCGCCAGGATATTTTCCGAGGTGTCCTTCATTTGCCTGTTAGCTCCACTTTTGGCAACATCTGGTCTCGTGATCAACCAGTACCTGGCCGTAACCAGACTTCTGAAATACAAATCCACAGTTACCAGAAAAAGAGTTTACCATTACATTACGTTCACATGGGGCTTGACTATTGCTGTCGGTATCTTACTTCATGTCACTGCTGTCGCTTTACAACAGAATAACCCGCAAGACGACGAAACTCCCTCCAACTTGACTGTAACCCTATGCAAGGTATACGATTCCTCGGACGACGTATACTATCAACTATCGGCATACACATATTCTGTTTTATTTTTGGCAATTACATTGATTGTGTCAAGTTTTTACTGTAAAACATGCACTGCTGTTCAAAGGGAAATGGCCGACGTAGAAGTTAACCGTCGGCACAGTAGTGTAGAACGTAAAGTAAACGTGACTATAGCATTGCTGTTTGGAACTATCATTCTATTTTGGCTCCCAGGGATTGCAGACGGCCTAGTAACTATTGTATACTTTAGCAAGAATCAGCAATGCACGGCGTGTATGATATTTCACCAAACTACTAATTTATGGTTCTTCGCCAACTCTGTGTTTGATCCCCTAATATATGGCGTTCGCCTGCCCCAGGTGCGCGAGGGGTATCATGCGCTATATGTGGACACAATTAATCGATTCCTGCCTAAAAAGAAGCGACTGGCGTTCAGTTTTCGGTATTCTCAATATACGCCACACAACACTTCGCTTGCAGCCTCCCAGTCACATTCACACTATTACCAGGCGAGATAGCGGGGGTGCACAGGAAAACTGTTAGCTTTGCTTCAGTCTGCTGACGTGCCAAATGTTCACAAGAATGATAATCTACGATACCAGACCCCAGACATGTGAAAACAGAGGAAATTAGGACCTGCAGCTTGCATTAACACTAAACAGATAAGCCCGTTCTGTGGACAGTCATCTGTCATTAATAGTTAGAAACTTGGGTTTACCCGTAGGTTAATCATTGAAGCGCGCCTGAATTCCGTCTTGTACGAGACAGCTTGCCAAAGGAGACGATTTTCAACCAATATTGGCTTTAAAATGAAATATGACGTTTTCAGCCAAGCGCCGTGGCTTGCGAACAGTCATGTGTAATGTACCTTATGGATCAATGGCACCATTCATCATCAATGAAATGGTTCAATGCCAATGTAAAAAAGAAAAAGAAAATGGAAAAATATTTACGAAAGTGGCTGAGACATTGAACCGTTTTGATGATTGATAAAACTGCAGTGTTCTCAAAGCAAATGATGTTCTGTGATACAGCAGGTCGAATTTGAATTAAATAATGTTCAAGTATTTGCTAAGTTGTATAGCAGGTTTCACAGTTTATAAAGGTTAGCTTCCTCAATGCATCAATGTAAGGAAAACATATCAGAACTACATCTAAAGGAGAAATAAATATAAAAGATGACCTGCAAATTGCGTTCCACAAAATGGCATGTAGGATATATGTTGTATCTTCCACATGCTGCCAAAGCTTCAGGTTAAATGGTATCGGGATAGCTCCAACATCGTTTACTGAAATCACTGTCAAAAGGAACTCCTCTTTCAGAATTGAATATCGAGCTCTATAACTTAACACTCCCTTAATTCGAAATGATTTATTGGTATGGATATAAAATATCGATAAAGAGATAGACTGAAAAACAGACGTAGATTATCTAGTTCAAATGTTATGAGAATAACGGTGCCGTGGCAATGTCTATCAATTAAACCATATGCCAGAAAATAAAAATATTATCCTATTGTAGAACCCGCGTGATTTAAATTTTGATATACATGCGTCTTCCAGTCGAGTCTTATCATCGTATATGCACATAGATCAAAGTTTTCATTATGAAATTATGATTGATACTTGATTTGAATATTTAGACATTATTGTTTCAAGTATTGGTAGAGCAATGTTGGATCAGGACTCCGTATACATATTTCAGTAAAAAAATATCTGTCGCAAATAATGTTGTATAAGATAGTGGTAAGCTTCTATGTCTGTTAAAAATGATAGATATAAATCTTGTGCTGTCTGAAACGTCTTATCATCACTTATGCAAAACTATGATGGTTTCCATTATATCTATGAATCAATTATTCACTCTAATCAAAATATGACTGTTGAACACCGTTATATTTGACAACAGATATTCCCATGTGGATAGTTACACCATTTACATAGAGAGATAATCAGGTTAGAGATTAATTAACTGTCAACCAAATCTGATCTCTTTTCCACTTGAGGACGTAGTTTTGCCAGACAACTTAAGATACCATCCAACTTATTTCACGTTTGACTGACCGACTCTGCCGCTCTACGTCAGTTGTTGATTCATGTGCCAGCGAATAATACGGTAAGCTTGTTTGTTTCGACAACCCTTGAGAGACAAGTTTTGATTAAAACTTCTAGAACAGGGACTCTGTATATTGAACAAATCTTTGGCCAGACTTTCAATGTGAGTCTGTCGATGGGTTTCTTTGACAGAAAAAGCCTGCGATAAACAGTATAATCTAAGTATATGCTTTCTGGCTTTCAAAATTGAACTGTTAAGTGTTTATAAGGACTAGTTATTTATTTTGAGCCTAATTGTACCTATGAACTTTTGACTAAAATTTTTAAAATTTAATAATTGATTCTTTTTACATCCATCCTATTCGAAGACATTTACATATTCTTGTTGTGCATCTGAAAAGTGAAAGAGACTGGACTATTTTCCGTCAGAAAAATTAATCGTGCTGAAAAATTTGTTTTACAATAGTACCACTCCGATTTTTTTATATTGCGGTGCTTTTAGTTAACACTCATTTACTTTTACGCAAAATGACCACTTTATATACTTTATATCTCTTTATTACAATTAAGGTTGAATACCGGTTACTGAAATCAAATCTTTTTAACAGATTTAGTGCTTATTTAGTGACAGTTTCCTAATTTTCAGCGGTAAGGAGTACTTTAATGAAATAAGCGTGGGGTAAAGACTGATCATTGATACAGAAAATGAAAAGAAGCGACACGGATCAGTTAAAATGGTGCTAGAACCTCAAACGTGTTCTTTTAGTAGGATATTATTCACAGGATACAATGAATAATGGCCACTTATCAAGCAGGAAAGTATTCATTTCGACCATTGGAAATGGACGTATATTCAAGCTTACAGCTTCCCAGGTTTTAGTGCTTCTACCACAGGTTTCAACACCATAAACTAGTCGGATTTTTTCTTGGTTCACACCAATATCATGCTTTTGATTGATCTAAAACCAAGAACACTTGCAAAAATCAAGCCAGAGCAGTGTTAAAATGTTAACTGTAGTTGAAGCAGGATAGCTCTACAAATGCCGTGTTATCTGTCGAAAGTGAATGTACAACATGTATACATCCTAAGAGTGTGATAACGCCATCTTGTTATCTTGTCATCAATGTTTCTAGTTGATGTACAAGCCTCATTAAGGTAACATTAAAACGATCTAGGCAGGTTGAGAACGCGAGGCGCAGAGATGCCCTTCGGCATTTTTAACATAACGATGTAATATGTTTTTACCTTCTTACCCTTTCTTCCCAAAATACCATTGGAATCAAGCACGGGCTCGACATCATTACTGAGATCGCTACCAGTTTACCGCAATTAGTCTATCAATTCTTGATTTTGGCTAAAAGGTAACGTTACTGCACTAAAGGAAATAAGCTTATATTCAACCTTTTCGTCGGGTGATTTGTCAGTATATATCGGCCATAACTCAAGTTTTTAAAATATAGCTGGTACTTAAGCGTCGTTCATGCAGTGGCTTTTTGGTACATATGCTTAATTGAATGCAGTGTAGCAAAAGGAGAATGATTATAGAGAGAAATCATTTCCCGTAGAGCTCAAGGGTGGGTACAGAATGTTAGGATATGCTGAAAATCAATTAACCGTATTACACAGTCTTTTTACGGTCAAGAGCCCGAGGCTCACGTCATCATTGTACATTAATCAAACCTATCGGGTATGCTGTGTCCAAATTGAGCGCTCAGTTCTAACAACTTAATGTCAAATTTATATCCGGAAGATACCAGTATCTGTTTGACCCTGAAGAACAATTGCTACCTACCACTAGCCGGTTGACAGTAAAAGCAGATATCAGGCCTATTCAAAACAGGATGGCTAGTGGCACGCAAAATTTTACCAAACGACGTTTCCTTCAACATACCACAATTTGTACATAAACGATGGTTTCTTGAAGTTCCCATGGCACCTATAGCTTTGATTTAATAGCACAAATGTTTGTGTGCAGTTGGATTTATATCCCTAAGAACATCATATTTTATGTTCTACCAATGCTGATATTCATTTGCACAATGACATAGAAAATCCGGAAGCTATATCTTGAAAATTATCCTTCAATTCACATTTTTCGTAATGGTTTTATCGAAAACAAAACAATTGCACGCAGTTCTCAAGGTAATTATACATGCTATAAGTACACCAAACAACTGTGTAACAAGTTCTCTGTTGTAATTTAGTCAATCTTATGTCTATGAAATATACCTTACTTTGGTGTTGTTCATATTACCCATGCCATAAAGGCAATCCAGGGTCCCCAAAACAACACTTATGGCGATTTGTTTCAGGATTGCACCAACATAATATTGTATTCAGTCATTTTGAGAGCAATTACAATGCCAAAACAGGGAAAGCTATCATGTTTCTTTGTTCTTTGCAATATACCAATGGTGTTTTCCTGGAAAATTATAAGAAACTTGCATCAAAAGATGAGTTGGATAAGTATTTCGTTGATGGTAATGGACAAATAATCCTATCCCAGTTGACATCGTGAGAATGTCACGCCCTTTGGGGTGATTCAGTTAATAGTTCTCTCGGTGGATTTTGGGCATGTAACTAATGGCTATAATTGAAACTGATGCAAAAATTCAGCTCAGCAATTTGTAATAACTGTGAAGTGATGAACGCACGTAATTTCACTGATGCTGCTTCGTAATGCACTTTAGTTAGTGTAATAAGGTGATACAGAATGGCGTGAGAATAGCCTAACGCCGTCAGCATGACGTCAAGAAGTCATAAAGAAAAAAAAGAAAATGTGTGACTTTTTAATGTAAAGGGAACTCTGATATGTCATTGGGTGCAATTAGATTTGTGACTCTTATATAGTTTTTATAAATTCAAATAAGCTTGTGTTAAAAGAGTTAGGTAAAACGTTTAGTATCGTGACCAGTAAAGATATTTTAAAGACTTTTTGCAGTGTAAAGAGTGCATAACAAACGATTATTCCGGCTGGGTCGAGCAACACGCCAAAATACCATCAGTCGATTGTTCTTTGAGTGACATAACATAAGACACACATGCAAAACAGATTTTAAAAACTAATGAAGTTTTCATGCAAAACTGCAAATTTTGCAAGAGTTAGTCCTTATGAAAATATCTATAAATATCTAAAATAATCGTTATCCAGAAACAAATGTTCATCTGATGAGGGTATTTAAACGGAAATGTGTTAGCCTACGTGTATTTTTACCGGCAGCTGACTCTGTGGCACAATGTTAGTTGAAGATATCTGCCAAACAAAATATCAACATGCGTACCTACAACAAGTATGCCATTTGTGAAGCGATCTCAAACATGATCTGTTCAGCATGAATTAAGAAACAAAAGGCCAGAGATACTTATAACCAGACTTATGGTAAACCACATCCTCTGTTACAAGCATGACTTAGAGCAATACTTGAAGTATGGATTTATGGAGAAAGACATAAAATGTTTACATTATCCTGTTCCTAAAACACAAATTATTTGACTATACAAACATTCTGTCATTCGGTTTAGCTTTGTGATAAAGCATCCGCAATATGCATAAGTGTGTTTCTGAAAGAAATACTTTTGCCCACATGTATGTTTTGTAAAGATAAACGTGTAGTGAGGGAGTCTGCTCACGTATTAGTCATACCGTGGCATCAAATTAATGTGAAATATTCATCATTATGTCAATGTATTAAATAATACATGTATATCATATACATTATTTTAAATATGCAACTGCGTTTAGTTCATTCTAGTATCTTCTTCTTTGTATCGGGATGTTTATACCAGTAATTCTATGGTAGCTTTAAAGCTAATGGAAACCATTTCAAGGATACCGCGGATAAGTCGACGTTCTTTGATTTTATTCATTAAAGGGACAGCGATGTCAGAGATGTAATAATAAGGCCAGTAAAGCCGATCAGGTTTATGTAAAAACGACCTTATCTTGCCGGGAGCGATCATCTTCCATTATCAACTGGAAGAAGGAACAGTCGTTCAACAAAATGCCACTGTGGGTCTAGTGCCACCACCATTTGGCGTAGATTAAATCTTAACTTTCCTGATTGGTTTTAAATAGCAGCGGTTATGAGATCTTTTCCATTTGCCTGTGCGAAAAATCTTTGCGTTGAACCTATCAATGCGGATAAAAATCATTGCTGGGACCAGGGCAGTGGCATATGGTTGCCAGAGATGTTAAGGGCATCTATGGCGCGGCACGTGCTTCCTGTGATCCCGTATGTGAATCCGTTGTAAAGTATAACTTTACAGACACCTAAATTAAATTTGTATTTTGTTACCTTTTTACACAATTGCACACATCTACCTGTATAAAGGGTAAATGTTTGCCAGAGCTTTTTGTTTTGGCCAAGCACACGAAACCCACGAATTCATTAAAACAGTCGTGTTGGTTACGAGAATCTGTATTAAACAATGTTTTTTTGAAACATCATTGTGTGATTGGGCAAATGAACGTGTCTTTGGATTGGAAAATTCC